ACACTCCATCAGTCACTACCAGCTTGACCAACACTTTTGTCTTTAAGGACACTCCATCAGACTCTACCAGCTTGTCCTACATTCTCCCATTAAGTACACACTCCCTAAATCCATACCATCTTTACCTATACTGTATCCTTAAGTACACATCCTAAATCTCTGCCCAATCACTCTCATTTAGATTCTTCCCTTCTCTCCTACCCTAACCTCCTCCCTCCTCCGACTACACACACATATACTTTAAATCATAGTTAACATGCGACATTACGTTATTTCCTAATTAATATGATACATAAGTTAAAAATAATAATAAAAATAAATTAACAACAACAAAACTGAGCTAATTTGGCAAGTTAAAAGAATGCCTTTAATTTCTACGCTTTATTACATCAACAATAACATCATTAACAATAACATCATCATCAATGACATCATTAACAATGACATCATTAACAATAACATCATCAACTATGACATCATTAACAATGACATCATTAACAATGACATCATTAACAATAACATCATCAACAATGACATCATCAACAATGACATAGACTCCATTTTCTTTAAACAAACACAAACGTTTCAGCAGGATTGTTTAAGCTGTGCAGCCGAAACACGCCAGGTTCCCATTTAAACACTGACATTTTTCGCAAGCATCTGATGGGATGCTGTCGTTATGGTTGTATTGCTGTGAAACAATATAGTAGCAAATAAACATTTAACCTGTATTTTATGCAACATATTTCCCCATACATTCTAAGTTAATATTATATTTTGGTTTTAAAATTGTAGGTTATTTACAATTATTTCAGAGATGAGATATTCTCTAATCGTAATATTAATTTAATGACTATTTATTTCAATGTTCCGTAGAAAATATCAAAAGGGATTATGATAAAAAATGCAACATAAGTAATATATATATGTATATATATAAATAAATATTATGTCTGTATGTATGTATTAATGATAATTTATTGTTCCTAACCTTTCCCTGGATATTACAATCATTGGGTTTGTACCACGGACAACCCCTCAACGGACAACCCCTCATTGTACAGCCAAAGCCACCTTTTACACAGATACAACTGTTACACTCATTAAAAACTTTCCCGACAGACTCACCGGGAGAAAAGCTCTGATGAAAGGCCATGTGACATGTGTAGATACACAAATATATATATATATATATATATTTTTTTTTTAAGTTTTCAAGAGACGTGAGTTAAAAGAGGATTTATAAATAAGCATTAAATATATAAAGTAACAATTTCATTTAATAACAACTTAATGAAATAAATAGTTATTAAATAAAATAAGCGAAATGTAGGAACACTAAAAAGATGTTAGCTAATGCAGACGTCAATATTTTCAAATTGATTTAATTGCAAACTACAACTTTTAAACATTTCTAAATCACATTCTAAATTTATAAAAATATATACCTATACATATCAATGTCATTGAATAGATATACGTAAATGCAAATGAGTATTGTAATGAGGTAGTATATGATAAAATGTAAATACTTAATTAGAGATAAATCTAAAGAGATACTTTGCAAGTCGCAATGGCCATGACCGGCACAACACTACTCACCTTATCATTAATCCGACATTTTGACTTAATACTTCCTGACTCTCCAATGACAGCATTCATACAGCAGACAATCGAGGCAACAATGGTAAAAATCAATTTTATGTCCAATGTCTGGTGGGAAAAATTAGAAAAATGTCCAATGATTTCTAACAATCTTGGATAATGAAGGGTTATATCTAAAAGTTGTATTATTTTAAGATCGTTCTTTTCTTTATCCACACTCTTCCCCGAAGATGCCAGAAACCAATAACTTTTTGTGAATGAATTTGGATCATGTATACCCTGTTACAAGCATTACATTTAAGGTGAGGATTTTATGCTATTTTTTTCCTTGTTGGAAACAATCATGCATGCAAAAGCTATTTAGAAATTATCATCCATAATAAACCTGTTTAGAAACAGTCCACCTTACAAAAACTATTTAGAAACTGTTAACCATGCAAAACCTTGTTAAAAACTGCCGTTGCTACAAAGCCTACTTTGTATCACTGTTAAATACTTTCGGCCGAAACTGAAAATGAACCGAAAATTAACTTTTCTGCGCCAAAAGTGATCACTTTCGGCGCAGAAACAGAAACAAAAATTCTGTCGGGCTCCTATCTATATATATAAATCGCCAGCAAAGGTCAAACACCACCACCACGCAGGCTATATATAGATACGCAGGAGTGTTGTTAAATAATGAGTTCACTAGCGCGCAAAATATAATCCCCGATAACTACGCTAAATGATATATATCTATTTTTAATATGCCATTGCGTTTGGTGCGTAATATTTTCTCTTCGGAAATGAAATCGTCTCAATTTAAATATTGTGTAAAAAATATTCGGTTTAAAAGTGGTTGGGACATGCGAATATGTATATAGTTCATGGGCGTGAAGTAACAAGTGTGCAGTGGCGTATCATGGGGGAAGGGGTGTAGCAAATATTGGGATTCTTAAAAGTGCGTTACTTGAGTTCATGTTTTTTTCAAGTAGCTTTAGTAGATATGAAGCTCACACATTGATGTCGCCAATGTTTGGCGGGCTCTATCTAGTGTTAAATATTTCCCCATTCTGTGAGATCGTAAAAAAAATATATATTTTTTCTTGAGGTACAGATCGTTTTCGTCTTTATTTTTCTATATCTGTTTTTAGATTTCAACTTCTTATTGACCGCGACGTTGTCCATTCTGTGACCGACAGCTGTGCAAAGACTCAAGTATGTTCATCAGAGAATGGCCTTCTGGGTTATAGCTTCACCAGACAGATTATAATGCATTGATGGTAGAACCATTCTCATCATGCTTTTATAGTTACTTGTCAAATATTCGCTTGGTCTGATATAATCCGATGGCAAATCTTCCATCTGACCTCATCATGTCAGACCAGTTTGTTTCAATGAACTCAAACAATGAATAGTTCAATGTACACTGTGCGTTACTTTTTTTTTTTTTTTTTTTTTTTTTTTTTTTTTTTTTTTTTTTTTTGGTCACCGTACTAAACATCCACTCGGTACACAACGAAGTTGCTACATAATTAACAAACGAATCCAGCAGAAAAATATTATCCTCCAGGAAAACGCCCCCAACAGCGAATCTTGTCAAACATACTAATCTCCCTCTCTCAAGTCGTTCTCTGCCCCTTTTAACCGAAGATGCCCGTACCCGTACTTGATACGACTCTAGAGTTCACACACTCGTTCCTTAACTCAGTGGTCTCACTACACACGCTGCCTCTGATTCCACGATCTTCACACTGGTCATAACATTACTGATATCAAAAGATAAGGTTAATTTCATCTGCTCTCAAATGCGTCGCCTAACAGAGCTCATAACATTCTCTGACGTTCAAAATGATCGTGTTTTATTATGAACCAAAAAAACTTGATAATGCATTCCATTTAATATTTGGTCCATTTAATATTCGAGAAATAATGAAACAACCACGCAAGTGGGCGGCATTATAATAGTGTTTGTGATTTTATGGCGCAAATCGATTGCTCAATTAATAGAGCACACGGGCGTACAGTCTGGCCAAACTCAATAAGATATTAATTTTTTTAATAAAAAAAACAACTCTATCGTTTGGCCAATCTTTCAGCAGCTGTTAGGTCCCTCTACGTTAATAAGTGAGCCAGCACTGTAGGTTTTAACCTAGGCGAAAATGTTTTTACAATTTTATTTTACGAAGGATTTTACAAACAAAATTGTGGCTGCCATATCTGTGCGGAAATACATTGTTAGAGGCTTTGTTCCACGAAAATATTGTCTAAAAATAGTAAAATTACGTAATTTGATGTGACGTTTACCGGTCTTAAAAATGACAAAAACTACTGGCAATGCCAAGTACATAGAACTGTAGTTTAACTCAGTCATTGAGTACCTCAGGGTCTCCAAGCTGAAAATAGGTACGGGATATTTGCGAGCAAAACAATTATTTCATGTTACTGGATGCCTCTTACAACTCACATAGGTGCGGAACGTAAATATTTGTACTTCTCACATAAGCTAAACACCACAACGTAACTCCTGTAATAATGATCTATAAAATCAGGCCCGCACAACGTACGGCCCGCGGGCCACATGCGGCCCGCCAGCACTCACTTTGCGGCCCGCGAAATAACGAAGTATTCTTTATTCGTATTTTCTCAATAGCTTCCTCCCCCCCCCCTTCCACCCTTTTCCTATTTTCTTTTGACCCGCTCAAGGTTTTCATAAAGCAGGTCGATTACCTGGTGTACACCCCTGCTGGATTTCTGCTTGAGATTAAAAACGACAGACAAATCAGACTTATCGAAACTTTCCAAGAAAATGTGAGGTCATAGTTCACATTAAAAGTGTGTTTTGTACATTTTGTCAATAAGAAAATAAGATTATTATTATAGTATCTGGTCTGATAGAAGTTAAAGTTTAATGCGTGTTTTGTATTTTTTGTCAATAAATGGATTATAATTATTATACCTGGTTGTATTTAATGTTTAGTAGCTAGTTTAAACTGACTCCGAAAAACGCAGTCCTTGAAAAGAAATTAGGATCTCAAAAAAAAAAAAAATTTTTAATCATCCTGCTGTTTATTTTTTGCTTTATTGACTAATGAGTTTGCCGACAACTTGCCACTGAGCAAAACTAATAATAATTATTATTATTTTTCTTGGTGTTGTCAAGTGTTGTTATTATTATTGATAATATTTAAATTATCAAAATCTTGTAGCCTAGTCATTTTTGTTGTCATGATTAATAATTTTATTATAATAATAAACTATGAAGATAATTTTTAAAGCCATTTTAATTACAAAAAGTTAGTGTTAAAAAGGTAAACATAAATTGTACCAATACATTTTGGTATCTAATATTTTAATTCATTATCCTTCTTTTTAGCGACATCCAAGAAAAGAATCGTATCCATCAACAAGCGAAAATGGCGTCGATCAGCAAAGAACGTTTACGGGAAATGGAAGAAGAAATGGACCGGTAATTATTCTTAGATGCTTTAATTAATGAGAGTTATATTAAGATGCGGAGGTTGCTTGCGCTTTCATTGTTCATGCCTTATTATTTGGTGTTAAATTAATATAATACAAACATCTATAGAATCAGAACATTGAACATGTTTATCCCAAATAAAAATCAACACTACACTTACACATTTAAATTTATGATTATCATTAACATTACCTTCATTACCTTAAAATATCGTTTAAATTAATTTAATTATACCTTCAAATAGCCACTATAATTTTAGCTTTAGATTTTAACCGGTTACAGCAGACCGTTGGTGCCATGACGTATCACATGGCTGCCATCTTGGTTTCCATGCCCCTTGAAATTTATGGGTTCATAGGTCGTGGCAATCAAGGTGCCGTTTAAAAATAAATAACTTACGTCTGCTAAAATTAGGAATAAAACATTAAAATTTAATAAAAAATGTCCTGGTGCATAAATTTCGTGATGAACATAGCTACTTTATTGTATCCGTTTAGATAGGGATTTCCAAGGTCTCACGCGCATGCAGTTTGCACATACCGAAAAATGCCGCAAAACTTTTGCGCCATTTTAACATTCGTCTCGGTGATTATCTCATACTTTTGCGCTTTAGGTCACAGTTTTCTAATTATAAACTTAATTTGTCATCAGTCTAGGGGTGTGCCGGACCCCGGTCCGGAATCCGGTTCCGCCGGATTTTGCACTATCCGGTGAAATCCGGTTCCGCCGGATTTACATGTATCCGGAACAACCGGATTCCGGAATATACCGGATTTCGGAATTTGCCAGATTTTGTGACTCACCGGATCATAATCTGAAATAAAAGTAATTCTCTTTCCCGAATTCCACACGATCACGATACATTAATCGATTGTTTCGAGCGTTGAGCTTGTTTAATGTTTAATATTCCGTACATACCAGAGGCTAGAGTCAGCACCGCTAATAGTGGCCAATAGTGTAGGGACTTTGATAAGAAAATTTAAACTTTTTGTAAAAATAAACCAATGGCATAGTTGAAAAGATGTAATTTTTTAAAGAATTATAACACCAAAATCATATTTTTAGCTGTTGTAGTTTTAAAGTTATGAATTTTTAAAGTACGACTTGGTTTGTCATTTTTTAACATGGACTGCATCTCCACATTCTGTGATCTCATTCCGCCAATCCCGTCATGCGCAATGACTATATAGTTTATATAAGGCAACGCATTCCCTGCCTTATCACTAAAATACTGTTTAGACTTAGTTTAAACTTTCAACTTTGGCACATGAATAATTAATTAAAGCTTTCCCTGACCAATGGTTTAATAGTTTTTGCACACGGCAAACTCTTATGAATGAAACTCTGAGGTAGTACTACGATACAGTTATGCAAGTGGCTGTGAATGGTTGCCAATGACAACGTGTTGCACACGGTAAATTCTGATCATTTATAATATGGATTCTACCGGGTTGTTAAAGCTCAAATTAAAACATTCCAGTTTAAATGTCTTTAAATGCATTCTGAAACACAAGTTATCAATTATTTTGATGTAAATAGTGATAATAAATTAATATTTCCTAAGTATCGTCAACTTCCGCCATTAAAAAGGGGGGCGTGGCCAACCCCATGGCGAAATTAGGTTGAGCGAGCTGCATAACCTGCTGCGAACGCGTAGAAACATGGCGTCTCTCGTAAGACACTTATCCAAATGGAACGGAACTCAAATATATATCGAAAGTACTAATTTAATAATAAATAGACACACACATCGGAAAATTAAAAACTCGGATTTTTTGGCGCCGATTGCGAATTCCCATACACAAAAAGTAGTAGTCCACCTTGACTTACCGAAGTATCTACCAATAGTACCAAAATCCGGAATCCGGGAGAAACCGGAATCCGGATCCGGCGGATTTCGCATAAGAAAATCCGGATCCGGTTGGAAAAAACGGATCCGGCACACCCCTAGACGTGTGCGCATATTTTTCCAAACACTGATATCATTTTTGTAGCATGGAATATCTGTGAGTGGCAATATATTTATCCTCGTGCCGGCATGTACTTACCGTATATACTCGGATATAAGACAAATTTAGAACTATAAAATACAATACTGAAATATGCGCACAAAACAAAATGGACACAAGGACAGTCACTAATGCCAATTTTCCAGCCACACAAATGTATAACTATTTCTAAATATATACTTCGTTAATCATTAGTTGTGAACAACTTATGAGTGGAAGCTCAGATATTATTATAGCAAACAACGTGGAAAGAGCTCAACACGTTTTTGTGTCATTCCAAAAGGTAAACAAACTGGTATGTAACATAAAAGTAAGCATTTTACATCTTTACAGTAACAAATTTCTATGAACCAAAAATATGGAGTAAAATTAGACAATTGTATGGTCAGCTTATATGCGGGTTTTTGCAAAAACTGGCCATTTTAAAGCAGTTTTAGGGGGTCGGCTTATATGCGATGTAGGCTTATATGCGAGTATATACGGTATTAGCTTATTACTTTTTAATGTCTAATCATACCACATTGAATTTTATCGTACTGCTGCTTGATAAATTCACAAAGAGTATAATTTTATTTCGTTAAAAATGACCATTTAACAAAAAAGTTAAGCATTCTACTCCGTAACTAAAAATGTTAATTATCACCAGTTATCTCCCCTCTAAAAAAAATGGGTTGTCCACTTATGGATCTTCTCATCAATTTAGTATAAAAATATTTTCATTATTGTTCATCTTTAAAAATCTTTAAGCATTAAACCTAGTCTAGATATGAGGCAAGAAGCGTCAATGACCTGCGATTGTGCCCTTTCCTCACGTTATTTCAGCAGGAATACATGCAAAAATAATTCTCGTCTGCTAAATTTTTAAACCCTAAAACTATCCCTAAACCTAATCTGGACCCTAAAACTATTCATAAATCTATAAAACTATCACTACACCTAACCTGAAACCAAAATTATCACTTAACCTAACTTGAACCCTAAAATTATCACTAAACCTAACCTGGACCCTAAAATTATTACTTAACCTAACCTGGACCCCTAAAATTATCACTAAACCTAACCTGAACCCTAAATATATCCCTAAACCTAACCAAACCCCTAAAACTTAACCTAGCCCTAAACTCTAAAGCCTACAACTAAGCCTACACCTCAAGTAAACCTTCATGTATTATCCAACAAGCTAAAAAGGTATGTAATGATACATTTATTTTGCATGGAAAATAAAGATTTTGGCGCCTGTGGCGGGTGCCCACTTAACCCACTACTGCATGATCCAGCAGCAGGTGGAGGGGGTATGAAAATTTTATATTTTTTAAGGTACTAATGTTAGGAATGCGTTTATGCATAATGACTAGGATGTTTCATTTTATTATTTTTTTAAATGCTTTTTGATGATAGAGGTGGGGAGGGAATGTAACTAAATCATTTATGGATGGTTCCTAAGTAAGAAAGTTCAATGTCATGCATACAATTAATCTAAAACTCTAATTTAGGTTTCAACAATGAAAAATATAATTAAAGTCACTTAAAGCATTCTTTATCCCTTTTAACTGGTTAAAAAAATGCAAAGTGAAGATTTGTTAAAATTTTAATAAATATTGAAAAAACATCTGTTTAGGCTTAAAAAGAAAAGACAGGACAATCAAAATGCCAATTCGGCTAAATCTCTTCTTCAGGAGAGAAAACAATACAATAAATAATGTTCAAAGATATCAATTCAATGTATTTCTATAAGTCTTCAGATTCTATCATAATCCAAACAGAATAAATAAACAAAATTTAATGAAAATAAAATATATAACAGTTATAAACCTAAAAAGATGGAGGAACAAGTACATACAAATAGTGTCAGTCAACTGTAAAATCCTAAAATGATGGATCTTGTTCCAATATTTACTTTCTTTACAGAGCTTTACCACGGTCCCTCATATAGTATCCTTTGAAGATAAAAAAATGAAGAAAAAAATGTTATAGAGTGACTTGTTAATAAAAAATCCTCTGATCAACTTTCTTGTATTTCTATCAATGAGGTGGAAAAGGCTTTTTGTCAATATATATGCAGTGTTGTTGGGTTGAATAACACCCAATAAATGACCCATATCTTCTAAGGTTGAACTGAATTCCTATTTCAATAACCTTTTAATTGTCAACATATCACTGAGATTAACGGTAGTACCACCCAAGGATCCACTTAAAACTTAAAGAATGGCACAGCCTCATCAACAAAGTTTTTGAGCAATACATCATCAACTGTTTGGGAGTAGGTATTTACAAAATTCTGATGATGTTCGATAAAAGTGTGTGATTTGTGTGACAATTTTTCTAACAATTTGGTGTGGGGTAATAGTGGTCTAAAATATCATGACAGTCATTTATGGATGGCCCCATATTCCTACTCTTCAAGTTTCTTGCTCTTCCAAGGTCATTATGTGCCTATTGCTATCATCAAACCTAGAAAATTTTTTTAGATGACTCATTAAACTTTAAACATAAAATCATCACCTGCACTTTTCTTTTAAAATTATATTAATTAAATTAGTGTCTTTTCAATCTTATATTTTCCAGCTTTGAGGCGGAGATCCAGGCACCCGGGGGTCCACCAGTCCATTCACGGGGTTTCATCCTGGGAGCAAACACATTTGACAGAGTTCAAGCTCAGTTATCTTCAATACGACAAGAGTCTACTCGCCTTCAACAGCAAAGAATCAGACCTGATGACAACGATGTAGATGATGGAAATCATTACGGCGATGAAGATCTCAGAAATCTTAGTGGGGATTTTAGAACTGCTCATAAAAGAAAATACCATGGCGATGATGATGATGATGATGATGAGGAGAATGAATATCATGACATAGATGAACGCCCAGGAAGACCACAGGGTCCCTTGATACCTCCCCCCCCTCCCCCTCCAGCCATGCCCAGCAGACTCCCACCAACACAGGGCCCCCCTCTTCTAGGAGACATGTCTGTAGTGAACAGTAGGTGTAAATTATTCAACTACCAGTATTATTGCCAGTCCTAAATAATGTGTATACATTTATAGATTTATAGTATACCATATATTGATTAAGCTCCATACAAAATATTGGAACTGGCAAAAATCCTCTCTTTTTTTTTCACAAGTTATTTTCTTCCTCTAGATTTTTAGAATTAAACAAAATATAATATTGAGTTTGAAAAATGATATTTCTGGAATTCCATTTTGTTCATAATTTTCTGCACACCTTCACATGAAGGACAGTTGCACCCATTACTGCAATGATAATGTAATGTGCCAGTTAAAAATACATGATCAATTTCATGGACTTTTAGTTGTGCAGTTTGAGTTTTGGAAACAGTATGATGAACGAGACTAAAATGATATTTGACTGAGTTTATACATTGAAATATTTGTATGAAAATCCCCCTAGAAATGTATGTTAGAGGTAAATGTCAAATTAAAAAGAAAAATGAAAAAAGAAGCCTAATTATTTAGGACTGGATATTGGTATCCGATATTTAATTTTATATAGTTTTCTGTATGTCAAATAAGAAGTCAAATTGGCACCTTTATGATTTACAAATTACTCTATGTTTATAATGCTTTAAAATGAGCATATTTATGTGATCCTTTTTGGCAATTCAATTAATTTTCTGACCACACCCTGGATTTGAAAGAGTATTAAGATTTTTTTTTTTTTTTTTTTCATTGTTTGCCCCTCCTCCCCCTCCCCCCCCCGAACCCGAAGAGTTAGCTTAGGGCTCCACATTGTCTTTCAAGCCCTACGCCCCTGGTGAAGATTTAAAATGAGCATATTTATGTGATCCTTTTTTGCAATTCAATTAATTTTCTGACCACACCCTTGATTTGAAAGAGTATTAAGATTTTTTTTTTTTTTCAGTGTTTGCACCTCCTCCACCTCCCCCACCCGAACCCGAAGATTTAGATGAGGGCTCCACATTGTCTTTCAAGCCCTACGCACCTGGTGAAGGTCCGTCCGTCCCCCGACCTGCATTTATGCCGCCTCAGTTACGACACAGACTGCCCCCGCCTGGTGGCCCCCGTCCACCTTTCCCTAGGCCACCCATGCGAATGGGTGGACCGTACGGTGGCCCGATGGGACCTCCGAGACACATGATGGGGCCTGGTCCAAATATGGGCCCCATGGGACCAGGAATGATGGGGCCCCAGGGACCACACATGGGAATGCCAGGTGGCCCAATGGCACCGCCAGGCCCACCAGGAATGGAAGGAGGAATGCAGTTTATGAACCAATCTATGGATGTAAGTCTCTTAAACTAGTTCTGATGTAACTTACCTTGTTTGGGCCATGTAGGACCTAAAACAAGGTTATGATGAATAATATGATCCACTTAGTATCAGCCCTGGTTATAATTACAAATATCTTGCCGTAGTAGTTTTTGTTTTTGGTAAAAAAATCCATTATAATGCAGTTGATTACATGAGGTCACTTTTGGTCACTGTCGTTTTTACCATAATGAACAAAGGACTATACTCAAGCTGTGTGAAGGAAATAGTAATATGGGGAAGCGTGAATAGAAAAACAGGAAATTAAGAGAACTTTTTGGCCAAGAGCTGAATAAATTTATACGGAGATTGCAATTATTGTCGCAGTAAGAATGGTGAACACTTGTTTTTCTTAAAAACTAGCTTCTATTTCTTGTCATATTTTCATTTGTCCTGTCTGCCGAGGAAGGCTCTGGTCCAGAACATTCCCTTATTGTCCTGTCTTTCAATTCAAGCTTCCACACACCCAGAGCTACTATTTCCTTCTTTTGGCCCAATCTCCACAATAAGTTGCGAGAAATGATCTAACCAGCCCTAAAATCTGCCATTATCTATGACTATCATATTTATTCAATTTTTATTATAATAGTTACATGCCACAAGTGCACGAAGAAGCCATTATTAAATATATCTAATCCCACAGATGATGATGAAGCCACTGGTGATAGAGCAGCCAAAAGTGGTCTACTCAGCAGCTCCTGTCATCAATGTTGATAGAAAGAAAGATGATAAAAAAAAGAAGAAGAAAAAGAAAGCCAAAGCAGGTGGTGAGGGCCCAGAGGAAGGAAAAGATAAAACAGGTTTGTGTCATGAGATGCTTTGATTGTGATTGTACATTCAGCACACCATAGTTGACTGACTGTGATTGTACATTCAGCACACCATAGTTGACTGACTGTGATTGTACATTCAGCACACCATAGTTGACTGACTGTGATTGTACATTCAGCACACCATAGTTGACTGACTGTGATTGTACATTCAGCACACCATAGTTGACTGACTGTGATTGTACATTCAGCACACCATAGTTGACTGACTGTGATTGTACATTCAGCACACCATAGTTGACTGACTGTGATTGTACATTCAGCACACCATAGTTGACTGACTGTGATTGTACATTCAGCACACCATAGTTGACTGACTGTGATTGTACATTCAGCACACCATAGTTGACTGACTGTGATTGTAACGTTAGGACAATATTTTCCTTTCTGTTTTACACTTGTGTTTAGGACCTCTGTAATTGTTTCCTCTGTTCTCCATAGTTGAAGATTCTAACAAATAATTGTATTTTCATCCAGTCAACAAAAAAATTCAATACTGCTGACACACATTCATTTATTAAATCATTTTAACAAAGAACTGCTGCTGAAATTTTGCACAGATGTTTCTATCAGGTCGAAGGGCACATAGTGGCCGATGGATAATGATGACAAAGAAACAATTCTGTAATTTCAAAATGTCAACTTGCTTCAGTTTAGTTGTGACATGTTATTAAACATATCTTAACCAGGGATTTTCAAACTTTGCCATTGTCCCAAAATATATATGTTAGGGCAGACATAACCCAAATTGATTTAAAAGTAAGAACATCCTAGATAATTTCAATTTAAAGTGTTTATTTGATCAATTTATACTTTTGAACGCAATTATACATGTAAGATACTGTTTGGGTTAAGTCATTGATTTCTCTGCTTGGCTTTCATGTTCATTAGAGTGAAAAATCCTTGTTTGCAAAGGTTGTTTGTTGCAAAGTGCTGCAACTTTTTGACTGCCTCATCTAGAGCAGTTATAACAGTTGTGAAAGCTATTGAGTCCTTTGAGCCCTTAAGAGCATGAGTGTTGTCATCACTAAAGTCTGGGAGCCTGTTAACACAGTTATTACTTCAACTGCATTATTTAAATTTTCTTTGTTTTTGTTGTTTCCCATAGGTCAGCCCAGCAAAGAATCGGGCACATCACATGTATCGAATCAAGGGACAACAGCCACAACCGCTGAAAATGACGACAAATCAGTTGCCGATATGGAAATTGTCCCAGACAGCGCTCTGATTGGTGGGATCATGACGGCGATCCCTGCAGCTGGGGTCCCTGGTGCTGTGAATCCACCTGGAACTGGGAAGAAAGAGAAAAAGAAGAAAGAGAAGAAGTTTATTAGATTGGCTGCCAACACTGTGTGGGAGGATCCGACGTTGGCTGAGTGGCAACAAGGTACTGTTTTGGTTGGTGGTTAACAGAACTATATATGACTATTCTAGTATTCTAGATGACTGACCAGTCTCTAGTTGAATGGGTCTGACAAATGTATGACTTATCAATTTCATATTTGAAGTAATACTCCCCTTACTTTTTTTTTTTTTTTTAAAGAAAAGAAATGAGGTCCTTATTATAATAAGTTTGAGAATCTTATAAATGTAATGCTAAGATCTCTTCAGAAAGCATCAATATACATTTATGACAAATGTATGACTTATCAATTTCATATTTGAAGTAATACTCCCCTTACTTTTTTTTTTTTTTTAAAGAAAAAAAATGAGGTCCTTATTATAATAAGTTTGAGAATCTTATAAATGTAATGCTAAGATCTCTTCAGAAAGCATCAATATACATTTAGAGAATGGTGTATGAAAGGATTTGTTTCCTTACCTAGGGAAACAATGTAGGTTTCTTGAAGCTGTTTGTGGCTGATGGATGTGGAGGACAATTTTCTTTGCACATTTTCCAATCAAAAGTCCAAGACCACAACATACAGTTTGTGAGGAAAATGGAATTTTGTCATATTTTACTATTTACTTGCACTTGTGGTATGCTACTAAGTTTCGGAATAAACTCCCAAGCTAAAAAAAAAATGTAGAGCACTTTAAAAAAACAAAAAATAACGCTCAACAGTTCTATTAATGAAGCATCCCTTAAATATCAACAGAATTCTAAGGATGTACCAAGTTCTCATTGTTATTATTATGTTAAAATTTAATAAATTCTTTGTTTAAATCAGGGTTTCCCAACCTAGGAGTGCATGGTGGCACTTCAGGTGGTGCTAGGAAAATAGATAATAGGCTCATGGGATACATCAGCTCTTAAGTAATGATATCATTATTAATAAATTTGTTATAATTTTTAATTACCTTAGTGCAGTGGTCGGCAAATTGCGGCTCACGAGCTGCATGCAACTCTTTAGCGACCTGAGTGCGGCTCGGCATGTCTGCCACAAATCAGTTTTGACTCAGAAAAGCATGGTTCTTGACAGGTTCTTGAAAAGAAATTTGGCCCTCAAAAATTTTTTAATCGTCCTGCTGCTTATTTTTGGCTCTTTGACTAATGAGCATGCCGACCACTGCCTTAGTGAATTAATAGGGGGTGAGAGTCTAAGAAACAATTCATGGGGGGGGGGGGGGGGAAGATTAAGGTACTAAACAGNGGGAAGACTTAGTGAAACAATACATAGGGGGTGAGGGACTTAGTGAAACAATTAATAGGGGGTGAAAGACTTAGTGAAAAAATTTATAGGGGGTGAGGGACTTAGTGAAACAATACATAGGGGGTGAAAGACTTAGTGAAAAAATTTATAGGGGGTGAGGGACTTAGTGAAACAATACATAGGGGGTGAAAGACTTAGTGAAACAATACATAGGGGGTGAGGGACTTAGTGAAACAATACATAGGGGGTGAAAGACTTAGTGAAAAAATACATAGGGGTGAGAGACTTTGTAAATAAATTCATAGGGGGTGAGAGACTTAGTGAAACGATTTATAGGGGGGTGAAAGACTTAGTGAAACGATTTATAGGGGGGTGAAAGACTTAGTGAAACAATACATAGGGGTGAGAGACTTAGTGAAACAATACATAAGGGGTGAGAGACTTAGTGAAACAATACATAGGGGGTGGGAGACTTAGTGAAACAATACATAGGGGGTAAGGGACTTAAGGAAACAATTCATAGGGGTTGAGAGACTATTCAAATAATTCGAACGGAATGTAGAGTTAAAAATGGTTGGGATTTAAATTAGACAGTTTACATGGGCAGTTAATAACATCTTTAGTTTGAGAATCCCTGAAAGAATGACTAAACTTTCTCCCCAATTTATTGTTTAGTTTATTTTGTAAGATTTATTCAATTGTCTCAACATCCCCAGATGACTTCAGAATGTTCTGTGGTGACCTTGGCAATGAGGTCACTGATGAAACCCTGGTCAGGGCCTTTAACAAATATCCCAGCTTCCTCAAGGCCAAGGTCGTGCGAGATCGCCGGACCAACAAGACCAAGGGATACGGTTTTGTTAGTTTTAAAGACCCATTGGATTTTACAAGGGCCATGAGAGAGATGAATGGTAAGTCAGATTATTTACAACATTAGTCTCCCCCCCCCCACCCCCCCGATTTAGCAATTTAGATTTTTTAGATTTCTACTTGCTGGAAGTGTCCAATTCTTTGTAGTCTTGTGGTGGCAAATATAGACCTCCTCTTTACAACAAAATAAATTAATATCATTTATTTTAAAAAAACGTTCTGCATGTGTCCTGGCAACTGTGGCTAAATAATAATGCCATTGTTTTATTTGGGTACAAGATTTTCATTCCTATGCCAAGTTGGCTGCTCTCTCCCGACTTCAGTGCTTGAAGTTCTTGTTTTTTTACTCACTGTCCACCTCCTCTCCAAGCCTTACTGGGCCGATGAGTCCGTCCCACTCGGCAATCGTCCCATAACTGGTGGCGACACAGGATGCATTAAAACCTGGTAACTCTGGGCTGAGGGCAGATAATTGGCCACAGGGCTGACGGACACTCTAAAGAGTCTTAATTACAGCCCCGTTCGACTTCTTTAAAGAACTTCATCTAAAGATTTTATTACTGCTTAGCATATTGGATGTAGCACTGGTAAAAAAAAAACAATCTTTTAGAGCAGACAACATATGACCCACTTAGTGGTCCGCAAAGTAACGAAATATTCTTTAGTATTATTATTTTCATTAAGTGCTACTGCGGGCCTTAAATTTTGAGTTGTGCAGGCCTGTTTTAGAGTAAACAAAAATGAGATTACCAGGCAGTGACTTTGATAACAGGCGGCAACCAGGCCATGGGGGCATTCGTGTGTATTGGGTAAAGTGGCGTTTATGAACAAGAAATGATGATATTTGTGTATAGGTAAAGTGACATTTGTGTACATTTAAAAGGGTCATTTGTGTACATTTAAAAGGGTCATTTGTGTACATGTAATTAGGGCATTTGTGTACAAGAAAAACTGGCATTTATTTATCTAGTGGTGCCATTTGTGTATTGGTAATGGTGGTTTTTTTTTTTTTTTTTTTTTTTTTTTTTTTTTTTTTTTTTTTTGAAAACTAATGATAGCATTATGGGTAGTGGTAGCATTTGTGTTGGGGTATTCATGTCATTTATGTGCAGGTAATGGCAGCATTTGTGTAGTGGAATTGATGTCATTTATGTGCAGGTAATGGTGGCATTAGAGCACAGGATTTCCACATGGTGTTTCCGCCAACAGTTGGTTTGTATCTGGGGAAAGCAATATCCCATGATTATACCATCTGCTCATAATCTTAAACAGAATGTTCTGAACAAAAACAGCAGATCATATTCTCAGCTTTCCAATGATTAAGCCACTGGGATCGATCAATGATCAACTCAGTCGGAATAAATGTCCAGACATTGGGTAGGGGGCTTTAACACTGATTGACTTTTATATTTATTGTTGGCATGGGGCTTACAGGTGGTTCAGGTTGTGGATCACTTAAGCCATTCCCTTGGTCACCAATGGACCATGGGTTGGGATCCTTTGTTCTCTACATTGATAAGTGTTTTATCTTTGTTCATCTTAAAGATACATAAAGTTTAAGACTTCCAATCAAATATCTTTATTAATAATAAGAGTTACCAGTAATTGATACCTGTTGAATTGATCTATTTTATTGTCAAGAACTAGCTGGTGCACTCACTTTTCAAGTCAAAAATTGTAAACATTGAAATGCCAGCTTTTCACAAATCAGTGCTAGCAAGCCTGAGCATTTGTGTTTAAAAAAGGCATTTGGTACTATCAACTATTGTCATTAATAAATGATTACATTCAAACAAATAAAAATGACAACTTAATGTTTTACAAGAAAGGAGGTACTAATCGCACACCCAATGCCCCTAAATATGGCTTTAGATTATAATATATCCAAATATTAATTGCAAAATCAGCAAGTCATATGCCATAGCCTAGATTGAGAAGCAGGCATACCATAATGCCATAGTCCAGTTTGTGAAGCAGGCATACCATTATGCCATAGTCTAGTTTGTGAAGCAGGCATACCATAATGCCATAGTCCAGTTTGTGAAGCAAACATACCATAAAGCCATAGTCTAGTTTGTGAAGCAGGCATACCATATTGCCATAGTCTAGTTTGTGAAGCAGGCATGCCATAATGCTGTAGTCTAGTTTGTGAAGCAGGCATACCATAATGCCATAGTCTAGTTTGTGAAGCAGGCATACCATAATACCATAGTCTAGTTTGTGAAGCAGGCATACCATAATGCCATAGTCTAGTTTGTGAAGCAGGCATTCCATAATGCCATAGTCCAGTTTGTGAAGCAGGCATACCATAATGCCATAGTCCAGTTTGTGAAGCAGGCATACCATAATGCCATAGTCTAGTTTGTGAAGCAGGCATACCATAATGCCATAGTCTAGTTTGAGAAGCAGGCATACCATAATGCCATAGTCTAGTTTGTGAAGCAGGCATACCATAATGCCATAGTCTAGTTTGTGAAGCAGGCATACCATAATGCCATAGTCTAGTTTGAGAAGCAGGCATAACATATATTGCCATAGTCTAGATTGAGAAGCAGGCATACCAAAAATGGTTTCAACTAGATGACTCAGCGTTTGACTTGTGTTTCTCTTCGTTTGCCTGTCCCCAGCCGAGACCCATCCATATCTTTATATTACTAACCCCTCTTGCTATAACTACCAACATTATTTAGCGATGGATGGTCTGAACATTTTGTAGGCAC